GTCGAGTTGTTTGCTTACACGTCATACGAAATGGATTAGGTAGCCTGCCCATCGAATGACTCCCAAGATCCCTGCTGTTGAATTTCATAATTTTAATACAAGTCCAACTAGCTCTTTGCTCGTGCGTTTGTTGTGTGCCATGCAGTCACCATTGTCTGGGTTGGGGTGTGGCTTTGGTCTTACGTGTTCATGGCGTCTTCTGGGAAAGTAGGAGCGACAGAGGTGAGCAGCGGAGGAATGTTGTTTTGTTTGCCTCCAGTCTCAATGTGCCGCTCAGCAGACAAGCAAATAGCCCCACGTAGCATCGGCGACGGCTCCTCTCTCTTAAGTATTCGATTAGCGTACTTTCTGCTGCAAAGCCCCGGTGTGGTGTCCGTCGCAGATCCCCATGGGTTTGGAGCAAAACGGCGACATTGGTATCCTTCCTTTGCACCGGGAGTTTGTATGGGACGTTCGGCTGATGTTCTTCGCTCCCCTTTGGTGGCTGGCTTTGTTCTGGGTGGTAGAGGCATTGATGGCATTTGCGCACTTCGTCATCTCTTACACGGCGACGGTTTGGTACTTCTCTCCCCCCGAAGGAGCAGACGAGAGGGATGTCGGATGGTTCCCTCCTCTTGTGGCGATTGGGCTTGGGTCTATTCATCACTTGGGAAGCTTTGCTGTCGGCGGCCTCGTCATGGGGGCAACACGGCCCATCCGGCTGCTGTTCCCTTGGGCAGCGACTAAGCACTTTGCCTCGACTGACGATTCAGCTGTCGTTCGAAGCCTGAGGAACAGCTTTCGTAAGCCTTGCTGCCTCCCCATGTATGCACAATCAACCCTGCACGTGCACCCTCACTCCGCTATATGCGTATGGCCCTAATTCGATAGCTAAACCAAATCATAAGCTACACAGCAGAGCTGCACAATCTTCATCGGAGTGGAATGTGTGCCTGCGACACTAGGAAACATTATGAGCCCGCTGGCGTTCGTCGTTGACAGGTTCACCTCTTCAGGATACATCGAGGTGAGGACCTATAAAGGCTGTAGCTGTTCGCAGGCTGTAAACACTAGCAAGTTGAGGCATTACAACTGCGTGCAATTGTGGTTCTTCATATGTTGCTATATTTTTCTTCAGATGTCCATATCCTCCAAACCATTCTTCCCTGCCATGGACAAATCCCACATGCGCTTGATTCAAGCGAGGTCGCCAGCGACGTATCTGCATGGGGTAAGTCGTAGGCCAATATTTTCCCCCTGTTACCACTTGCATCCATTGTAACCAAAACATACGTAGCGTGGTAGACGTTTGGTGTACGTCAGTTACGTTGTGCGGGGCGGGAGCGGTCTGGACGTCCCTCTGTTCTCCTCTTTCTGTTTCTGTTCAGGCCGTAGCAACTGCATCTGCAATTGCCTCCCTATTTATTTCTCTTCTGGTCGGCATGATGACTTACTCTGTGAGTTTAATGACAAGCGGTCAGCTCAGAAAGCAGCATCCTACCGGACTACACAGCCTCTAGGGCTTTGCTCATGCACAGTGAACATGAATTTGTGTGTTCATCTGTTAGACTCTAACTGCCGCGGAAAAGTACGCATCGGTTGCTTCGCCATCTTTCGTGGCAGCTCCTCTCTGCGTCTCCATCTTCACCGCTGCCATAAGCTTCATGATTGCCATGCACTCCATGGCGGTTTGGGATATCGTGGCCGACACGTTCATGTACTGCTTTTTAGTAGAGTCTGTACAGCCACCTGGTAAGGAAGCAACACGAGCACTAGGCGTGAAGCGCTTGTGTACACGCCGCACGCGCCCTCAGCAACTCTCAGTTGCCTTGGCAGCGTATTTCAGAGCGTTAGTACGTCGGCGCAGTCATGCTTTGAATGCATATACTGGGCTTGTTTTGTGGCTAATGTGTGTATGTCACGCAGTGGTTGACGAGGACCCCCTNTGAATGCATATACTGGGCTTGTTTTGTGGCTAATGTGTGTATGTCACGCAGTGGTTGACGAGGACCCCCTAACAAAAGTGCACGCCCCCGCATGCCTCCGCGAACTTCTCCTCAACGCACAGGCTACCCAATTTCATAGGTAAAGCGGAGTCAAAATGTGCACCCTCATGCATGCATATATGCATGCTTTCCCCCGCTCGCTGGTGGGAAACTAGCTTTAGTATTTAATGCTGCTTCATGCACGTTAAAGCACATAATAAACTTGCATCCGATAAAGGAACCCCTTCCGCCGCTGCTATCCTTGGCGGAGGCCTCACTGCCTAAGCAGGGGTCACCGCGAAAAGTCGCATATCTTTAAAAAAAAGCAAGGCTTTGAACCTACTTAGGGTTCGGCAGCGGCTGCATGGAATCTCAGCCAGCCGCCAAGGCCATCGAGTTCATATCGAATCAAGCGAAAGTTTTTTTGACGGAACTTTTGAAAAGCTTTGAAACTAAACACCTGGCTCGCGCGCACCAAGTGGCGAACCAACCAGCCCTCACAGCACTGCCTTCCACGGAAAAGGCACTCAGAAAAGCAGTATATGGCTCCCAAGAAAAAAGGGAGGCCAAACTAACGCCGTGGGGATGATAGGCAATGGACAGGGGCTAGCTGATCGCGCAAACTTAGGGGAGCGGGGCACCCCTCTGCGCGGAGCTGATGATCTGTATTATTGCAGATCCCACAACAACAAACAGGAAAACCGCCAATACGATGGGGCCCACGGGGTAACCCTTTCCCTTCCTGTGTTTGCTTTCGGCGACGTGCCCCCTCTTTGTAATGCTCCGATCAAAAGCTTCAATCTTCTTCGAATACTTCCTGTTTGTGCCCTGAAGCAACGCATGCGAAAGACCAACTCAGGAAATGAACGACACAAATATACACGGCATACAATATCCTCAAATGAGGGGCTATGGAAAAGAAGGTTGGAGAGAGAAAAACTTTTGACGGCCAAACCCTAGAAGGTACCCCCCCATGAAAAGAAACTGGGCATCGACAGCAGCCTACGCTGAATTTTAAAGAGATATATTTGTCAGTTCTACATGAAGCAAGAAATGGAAGGCAAAGACACAGTGTATTTCCGCTGAGAGCAAACCAGCGGACGCCGCCGAGGCGCAAAATTGCAGCGTGGTTATCTCGACGGTACGTGACCTCTCAGAACC